TTTCTATTTTCACTTCAGATCAAACTCCTTGTATCAGTTCTGTATTTATTAAATTCATAAACATATTTAAACTTAATATTCATCATCACATTTACCATTACGCTTAAATTTAGTAGAAAATGAGGCAGATTTCAGAGGGCTTGATGACCGCAGCTTTTTCAGTGTATAAAACAGAGAAGAAAGAATCCTGCCCCCTGCTGGACAGAAGACTCCACAACAGGATGGTGTTTTTCTCTCCAGTTGTCCATGTTCCTGAGGACCTTCCTCCTGATCCAGTTCGGACTCTGTGAGTAAAACACACACTTCGCTGGTGGTCCCAACATCCATCCTTCAGATAAGTGTTGTGTGGAAATCTTTGTTTAGCAAAGAACAGAAACATGTGATTTAAGGAATAAAGGTATTTTGTGGGATGGTTTTCTGAGTTCTGTTTATTGCGATAAACAAGAACACAGTCATATGCTGCCTGTGAAAATCTGTGCTAACAGGCAGCTCTAATGATTAACTATTATATACTGTTTCAACATACATATATTTCTTCCAAAGGAAATTCTCCAGAGACATTGTGGCATGAAATATTGCCCTGTCTGTCTCTGCGCCCCATAGATTGACTGTCAATCCATCCCTTGACTTATAGACCCCAGCCAGAATGAGGACCCCAAAATATGCCTGTGCATTTTATTCAGCTCCCATTTCCCCAAAACACACGCCTTCCTTCTAATGATTTTTGGTATTGAATTGGGCATGGGTAGCTTAAAAGGTGTCTTGGTGTCTGTGACACAAGTTGCTGCCATCCCATAGGCCCTGAACTGTCTTTATTTTTCTGCACACAGTTTTCCCTCGTGTTTGCTTGGAGATGAAGACCACTGCATTTCAACATTTTTTGACATGAATGTCTTGGTTGGAGAAATGTGACTAGTATATCATAACGTGGTTCATAATCAGAATCATCAGATTCAGAATTGACCTCAACACTGTCTTCAGTTTCAGACACACCAGCCTCTRGTTCATGGTCATGATCAAAGAGAAGTTCCAGTGCCTCCTGACCTGTCGTGTTTTATATTTATGCCGCTGACAGCGACGATATCACGTCTCTGCAGTGCATTACGTTTTAAGACTCCCTTACAGGGAATATTCATATTTTCCTACTTCCCTGCTGAGTGTCCACTCAGTGTGGGTGGAGTTTGTTCACTGGAAGAGGAAAAAGCTCCTGTCAAAAGACATGACATTAAAAGCAGTATTTTGTGCCAGAAAAAAAGTACAACTGCTGGAGGAACTTTTTCTCCCTCTTCTCGGTATTGATCAAAAGTATTATAGTAATAGTTATATTCATGACAAGAAATACATCCTGTGTGTCTGCTATAGTATAAATAATACTCTTTGTAAATACTTTAGTAAAGGTTTTTCACATTTTTGCTACTCTTTATGTATGTTTTAATTGTCAATTGGCTGAGAGAACAGAGACCAGGGGGGCTCCAGTCACCTAATTCAGAGGAATAGGTGCATAAATCTTGAACCTGCACGTTTCCTTATTTCCCAAGAAACAAAAAAAAAAATCTTCCATTTAAAACAGTTGTACAGATATTGTTTTCATGTTGTTTTCATATCTCTTTGTCCTCCATAAATAACTACAAAACAGAGTTTATACAGACTGAGGTCTGCAACATATTCTACGTCAAAGAAAAGCTTTCTGGAGTTTCATCTGAACAACATTTTTGCAGCAACTTTTCTTTGAAGTTTCCCTTCATATTCAAAAGCTTTTCAGAGCACCCTTTTCTGACGATGATGAGGATAGAGCTCTCTGATTAAAAGTAAAGCCAACTTAACTTGTGTTATCAGTTAGGTTAGACTCCATTTCTTAAATAATCAGCTTGTGTTTGTGTTTTAACACATGGTTCCCAACCTGGGGGCGAGGCCCTCCTGGAAGGACGTCAGAAAGCGTGGGTGGGGGTTGCATCACCTTGTCTCCTCAGAGGTTGTGAAAATATCAATTTATTGTGTGTATATAAAAATCACCAAAACAAGTCAATGTGAACAATCAAAATTCTGTAAAACGTAGTCCTTTTTTTTCTTTTCCAAATCAAAGTTTGTAACTATTTAGTTTATTATTCTGACAAAGAGATAAAGGTTTTACTTTGGGAGAGGTGATATGTACAGTATTCAACTCTATGATAAAATGTCCTGATGCATCTCAGTAATCAAGGTAAAAAATCAAAAAGAAAAAAAATTGTGTAGGTCTTCTGGAAGAGTTCTTCTCTAATGAAACGTTTCGTCTCTCCTCCAAGAGACTTCTTCAGTCTGAGAGTTTCAGGCAAAATACTCACATCACATGGCTATCGTTGACACCTAATTAAAACCTATTGTTAACAGGGGTGGAGTGACACTGGCAATAGC